AATGCCTGGTTTACATATTGCATAGGCAGCCAGCAGATGTTTCACCCAGGACTTGTAATCCAGGAGGATAATACTCATATATGAAAAGGTGCACCCTATACCCTATTCCTGGTTATTATTACACAGCCAACCCTCTAAATCTTGATGTTAATGAAATATTCACAAGAAATTTCACATTATTTTGGAGGTATGTAGAATGTTTATGCTTTCAAAATAAATGTTATCTGAATCACATTAGAGTGCTGTATACATCATTGTTTTACAATTTAGTCAAATATTTTTTTTCATTTTTAAACTTTCACTTTAATTTATGATGCTAGTCTATGGATGTCTCAAAAATGGCAAGATACATGATGTGCTGGGAGAACATCAGTGTTTCTTTGTCTTAGTGCCTGTTTGCAGTGCCTGATGACTACATTCACAGTGAGCAATGGCAGATTACATAACACATCTCAATTCTTTCTACTCTCATACATCCCTCCATCTCTTTGTCTCCTTCCCTTTACAAAAGATTTCTCTGTTTCCTGCTATCTTTTTTATTTGATCTTTATTTATATGTTGAGTTCATCATGGACGAGAAACTAAGTGATCTTTAAATTGTGCTTCTGATTTACTTCAGTTAACATAACATCACAGACTCCAGCTGCACCCACTTTCCTACCAAAGGTCTCAAGCTTATCTTTCCCTGAGGATACTGAAATAGGGCTCCATTGAATCTCAGTGCCTCATGTTCTGTCCCTTCATTGGTTGGTGGACACAGAGGCCCCTCCCAGCACTGATCAATAAAAAACTGTGAGGCTGCACATATGGGCTTGCTTGGATCCCTGGAATGTGATGTTTTTAACTCATTATGTTTCTTTTAGACTCAAAAGGTGCTTCAAGACTTTATAATATGAAGAATAATACACATCTGTGGGGGTTCTTGCTCCTGAGACTGACGGACAGCACGGTGCTGCTGGGGCTGCAGGCTGCGCTCTTCTCCCTTGTCTATCTGGTGTCCACGCTGGAGAATCTGACCATCGTCCTCCTCACAGTTCTTGACCACCACCTCCACATCCCCATGTACTTCTTCCTCAGGCATTTGTCCTTCCTGGACCTCTGCCTCATTTCCACCACAGTCCCCAAATATATTCTCAACTGCATCACCCTCACAGACTCCATCTCTTTCTGGGAATGTGTGTGTCAGCTCTTCTTGGTGATCATGTTAACAGCTTTGGAGGTGGGAATCCTCACTGCCATGTCTTATGATCGCTATATCGCCATCTGTCACCCTCTGCACTATGAGGCTGTCATGAGCAAAAGGTGCTGTGTCCGGTTGATGGCTGTGTCCTGGCTCAGTGGGGGGGCCCTGGGCGTCTTGTACTCAGCTGGGACGTTCTCCCTGGAGTTCTGTGGCTCCATCAGGATTCACCAGTTTTTCTGTGACGTCCCTGCCCTTCTTGAGCTTACTTGTTCTCAGGATCATGCTGCTGTCAGTGTCAGTGTGGGCCTCGGGGTCCTCTATGGGTTCTCATGCTTTGTTTGCATCTTGGTCTCCTATGTGTTCATTTTCTCTACCGTGTTGAAGATGTCATCCAA